AGAGAGAGAGGAAACATAAAACATTTATGATTCACGGTGTTCAACCTTTGAAACAAGTGAAATATTAAATGAATCGATTAATTAAGAAAGATTACCGTTCGTTGTGCAACGCGACACGAAGATTGCTACAATGTTGTTCCGTCGTGTATTTTTTTGACCATGGCCGACATGAGCTTCCCTTTTCCGGTGGGAAACAATCGTCGAGAAAAGATGATTTTTTTGGCCCGGTCAGAGAATACATAAACAGGGAAATGTCCGTGCACGCCATATTGCGTGTCGATCGCAAAAATGCAGCGATGACTGGACGACGCTAAATACATTCCACGATTTAGCGATAATGCGACCGGCCACATTTCGTTCGACATACAATTGCGTCGGTGTAACTACGGTCGTCGGATTCACTAACTGTCCCAGATATCCCTATTCACGGTCCATTTTCACGAGACAACGACGATCAACCACGTGTCACGGCCTCGTGTGCGAGGTCGCAAGTAATGGGAATCGTTACGCTTTAGCTGCAACTTCGGCGCAGCCAGGGCCGCAAAGCAACCAGTCGCGAATAAAAAAAGAAAAAAAAAAAAAAGATAAAATGGAGAGGCAGTCAGATTGAAGACTCGTTTCAACGTCGATTAACTTTAACCTTACACAACCATCGAAATCAAACTCTACTTTTTTGAACAAGTTGAAGGAGAAAAGGAGTAAAGTGAAATTATGAGTTAAAACCAAACGAGGTCGATGAAATCGTGCAATAAATTGCGCTATCAAACTCGAAATTACGAAATTACAGTCCAAGTCGTAATCTAAATTACAAGAGAAACAAAACTCATTGTTAGCTATTCAAACTCAGCATTAATTGACGTTCATGTAAACGATTCTTGTTTTTCTTTTAAGCCAAATCGTTCAATAGATCTTTCAGTATAAAATGATTTTCAAAACGAATGTAACGGAACAAATTAAATCATACTTTTAAGAGGAATGAGTCATATAGTACAAATACGTCCCTGGGGCGTTTTATCAGATTCGCACATCGGTATAAAAGTACCGACCCGGCGCTATTCGAGAGAAATTGCTAAACAGTCGCGTGCAACGATGACGAGAATGGCATTAGTCGTGATGTTAATACTCTTTTCAATCTCCAGTGTAAACTTCGTCGACTCCCTGCAGGAGAGCCTAGGAAAATTTCTGGGGACCTTTGGCGCGAAACAACAGTATAGAATTATTCATATTGCTATTCTTAAAAGAAAAGAAAGAATATTCGATCACCTATCTCATTGTATAACGACATGATTTTCCTTTTCAGAGTGCGAATACCCGAATTGCTGAATCAGTTGTGCAATCAGTCGCAGGGTTCCAACCTAACGATACGTGACGCTTGTTACGGTTGCTTCTATCGCGCCAGCATCTTACCGCAGGGTTACTCCATGTTAGTAGCCATGTCCGCGTGTGCCAACACTTATCTCAACAACACCAGCTACGGTCATTGTCAGGCCTACTTGCAAGTACGTGCATAAAACGACCGTTCATTCATCTCATTCTCTAATATATACGTTATCGTAATTCTCCTACAAATTTGACAATTCGTTACGTCCCGATTTTTCTCTAGAATGTGACCAGTATGCCCGATGCACGAAGCCCTGCGATAATATACTGCTCATTCTTAGAATGCATTCGTCAAGTCAATAAGAACAGTTTGGTAAGATTGAACTCTGAACTAATAGCTATTAGTCGTGTTACTCGATACGCTATTCTACGATTGCCTCTCCCTGTGCTTCACCACAACGCCTCCTTATGGAATGCTATCGTTTTGTTTTCTGCTCATATTACGCACGTTATACGCACACCCACGGATATCTTTATTTCTTTGATACTAATATGTACATACGACCTAATACTTAGAAAAGAGCTATAAAATATCTCTACTACACTGTTAGATATCAAAGGCAACCCAATTCCTTGAGTTAAATAACATTTCGTTATTTTTAACTTCATACATGTCACAGTAAACCAGTCCATCTCTATTTGAATTGCTACAAAATAAACAACGTTCATATTAACGTATGCGTTTAATAAATAATAAGTTTGCATCAAATTTAATATACATTTTCATAAGTTAAATTGTTTAACTCTATTGTTTTAGTCAAATTGGCATAATATATTAGATAGGAGCAATGACGACTTATAGACACAATAAAAATAACTCAAATTGGGTATAACTTGACTTTATGAATTTAACAGTGTAATATATTATTTCTCAATAATTTTAAATTCTTGCTTATTAACCAATTTTTCATTTATCTACATTTTTAATACTCAATAATATTAAAAATTATGATATACATATTGTAAATACTATAAATAAATAATAAGAAAACAATTATTGTAAATATTATCTAGGCTATAGTCGCAAGAGGTGTGCCACTGTTGCGAGGAACAGCATGGCAAATAAAGCAGCGGAATTTTTTTAAGTTCTTGAAATCTCTACGGAGGGGCGTCTGCATAATAAGAGAAACTATAACTACTACGACCAATCCGGTTAGTCCATCCATTGATCCGCGCCAGTAATCTTCACATTTTCGAGATGACACAACATTCTTCCTCGTTGGAAATGCACCGACGATATCTCCGCGACAATCGCACGGACCTCAAGATGTCTCGCGCACGATTCTCCGTGAATTCTGTAAATTATATGT